CCGCCTGGGTCTGATCACGGAGCAATCTCGAGCCATTCCCCCCTCTGCACTCCCCCCAATTGATAATATTTCCCTCTGGGTCTACAGCAACGTCCATCGCGCGACTCTTCGAGTCTAAGCGCGCTTCCCGTCATCCGCCTGGGTCTGACCACGGAGCAATCTCGAGCCATTCCCCCCTCTGCACTCCCCCCAATTGATAGTATTTCCCTCCGGGTCTACAGCAACGTCCATCGCGCGACTCTTCGAGTCTAAGCGCGCTTCCCGTCATCCGCCTGGGTCTGATCACGGAGCAATCTCGAGCCATTCCCCCCTCTGCACTCCCCCCAATTGATAATATTTCCCTCTGGGTCTACAGCAACGTCCATCGCGCGACTCTTCGAGTCTAAGCGCGCTTCCCGTCATCCGCCTGGGTCTGACCACGGAGCAATCTCGAGCCATTCCCCTCTCTGCACTCCCCCCAATTGATAATATTTCCCTCCGGGTCTACAGCAACGTCCATCGCGCGACTCTTCGAGTCTAAGCGCGCTTCCCGTCATCCGCCTGGGTCTGACCACGGAGCAATCTCGAGCCATTCCCCCCGCTGCACTCCCCCCAGTTGATAATATTTCCCTCTGGGTCTACAGCAACGTCCATCGCGCGACTCTTCGAGTCTAAGCGCGCTTCCCGTCATCCGCTAAGCCTGTATACCGTGCAGCCCGCCACCCCCTATAGTTAAGAGATCTCTTACTGATACGAGGAGGATTCAGCCAAAACGTCCAGCTCGCTTCTCGTTCCTCGAAGACGCTTAGGAGGTACCCCGAGCCCTTCCCCTCCTGGACCTCCCCAGTTGATAAATTTCCCTCTGGGCCAGGACCAACGTCCATCGCGCGACTCTTCGAGTCTAAGCGCGCTTCCCGTCATCCGCCGGCCCCCCCGCGGGGCCACCAGGCTGCAGGGCGAAGGTTCGCAGTTTCCTGCGCCAGTTGCAGCCTCCAGTTTCCACTGTCACAGTTCTGCTTCTCGCTGCTAACTGTTCCTCGCTGATGGGCCGCGCGAGGGGGGCGGGGCCACAGCGGCCAGGTTTAGCGCGCCCTGAGCGCGCGCTCTGAATTGCTGGGGTGGGTAGAAATCGACACCCCTCACGCAGGTCGGCGGGGCCAGGGCCCAAAAACACATGGGATTTACAGCATTTCTGAAATTCGGCTGCACCCCTCGCGCAGATCGGCGGGGCCAGGGCTCATAAACAAATGGGATTTGCCACAGTTCTGAAATTTGCAAGCACCCCTCGCGCAGATCGGCGGGGCCAGGGTCCAAAAACACATGGGATTTGAAACATTCCTGATATTCGGTGGCACCCCTCGCGCAGATCTGCGGGGCCAGCGCGCAAAAGCACAAAAGATTTGCCGCGTTTCTGATATATGGCGACACCCCTCACGCAGACCGGCGGGGCCGGGGTTCAAAAACGCATGGGATTTGCCAAATTTCTAAAATTCGATGAGAGCCCCCCGCGCAGATCGGCGGGGCCAAGGTCCGAAAACGCATGGGATCTGCCACGTGTCTGAAATTCGGTGGCACCCCTCGCGCAGATCGGTGGGGCCAGGGTCCGAAAACCAAAGGGGTTCCCAACATTGCTGAAATGCGGCGGCGCCCCTCGCGCAGATCGGCGGGTTCAGGGTCCAAAAACAAGGAACGTGCCACATTTCTGGAATCCGGCGGTGCCACGCAGATCGGCAGGGACAGGCTCCAAAAACAAATGGGATTTGCCGCATCTCTGAAATTCGGCGGCGCCCCTCGCGCAGATCCGTAGGGCCAGGGCCCAAAAACGCAGAAAGAAGTCGCCACGTTTCCGAAATCCGGTGGCACCCCTCACGCAGGTCCGCGGGTTCAGGGTCGAAATAGAAACAGGCCCCGACGCTGCTTCACGGAGGCGCCCAGACCTCATGATTTAGTTTTTGCATCTCCCATTATCCGAGACAGGGTGCTGGTGGCACGGGGTGAAGCCCTCGCGGATAAGGATGTCCTCCAGCTTGTTCCTGCGCTCCATACTCTCGTCTGCCTCCATTGCTGCCGACCCCAATCCAATCTTCTCGCGTCTCCCCAGGAGGTCCCGCCCCCCTCCCCCTCAACGCTTCTCCGTCATCGCTCCTTTCTGTCCTGCCCAGCGCATTTCCTGTTTTCCATCCCATCTCCCGTAGGATCGCCCTGCCCACCCTGCACTTATGGAGCGAGCTGTACTTTTCCAAATCCTCCTCGTCCTCGCGTAGCTCCGCCGCTCGTAACTTCCGCTCCTCCAGCTTCTTGCTCAACTGCTTGGAGTCCTTCAGGTTAACCGTGGGATCCAGAATCATCCAACTAAGTTCCACTGGTGCCCCCCACGGGGGGGAGCACTCCTCCTGGCAGCTTTTCTGCGGTACTTCAGCATGTCTCTTTGGTCCATCTCCACCAGGGCCCTCAGATCCCCATCCATTGGCAGCGGCATCTTTTCCGCGATCATCTCGCCATGCCCCTTCTCGCACTCGTCTGGGCTCATCGGCTCTGCTGCCGGCCCCCCTTCGCGGCGATGCTTTCCTAATGATATTAGCCTTTCCTCTGTGCTCCACCAAGTTCGCGCTGAGAAATAATGCCTTTTCTTCGGTCCTCTCCCATTCCTCTGATAGTCTACCCTGAGCCCGTGCATCTCGCTGAAGTTGCTGTTCTCGCGCGCTCTCCACATCTTCTCCGCCGGTCTCCTTTTCGTTGCCACTTCCAAATCTGCCTTGTGTCTACGTAGCACATTTTGTATTAGCGCTGACTCCTCCTTGATTTCCCCCACTCTCTCCAGCGCATCTGACTTCGCCATCTCCACTCTCAACTTCATCCTTTCTGCCAGAAGGGAATGCCTCAGTAACTGGAAGGCTGCAACTTCCTTGTCCCCCTGCTTCTTCTCGTTCGGAAATGCTTATTTCCTAGTTTTTCTTTCTGCATCGTTCCATTTCTTTCACATATGGTCTGCTGTAGGTCCGTCCCGAAGCTCCCCCCATTTTTCCTCTGCCGTTCGCTCTCCAGGATTTGCACTCCGAGATGACCTCGCTGATGCTTCTCCTGGGAATTCAACAGAGTCCTCCTGGATCGCACTCCGAGATGACCTCGCTAATGTTTCTCCTGGGAACTCGGCAGGCTTCGCCGGCATCGCACTCCGAGATGACCTCTCTAATGCTTCCCCTCGCTGTTGGGGCACAGCAGCCTTCAGGCGGCTGTCCAAAGCTCGCAAGAATCCCGCTTTCGTACGTCCTTTCCTCAGGCACTCCATCAGCATATTGCGGTCCACATATTTGTCTGCCCGTTGCTGTCTGTGCTTGCTCGAGAAATGAAATTGGTGTTCCAGTCCGATGTCGATGCCCAGAGGGATGTGGCATCGATGTCCTCTTATTTAATGTTCTGCTGTTTTTGCCACTCGTCTCGATGCACCGCACCTTCGCACGCGTGGTAAAGCTCCCGTCGGTACCGATATGTGATCGACCTTGCTCGTCCGCATCTTGTCCTCTTTCACGCGATAGAAGTTGGCCCACAATCAAAGAATGTCGTGACTACTGACAATATGCTGTGGACACAAAGCTCCCTGAAAGCTGCGCCATTGTCGTTTTCCACCTCTTTAGCCACTGGTCCCAATGCCGCTGCATGTTTGCCCGAGCTGTGCTTGCTTACGTACCACCAAGTCCCTGTTGTCAGCCCTGTGCATTCCCAGTTGGCTGTTGATGCCCCCTCGCACTATGATAGTAGATCTGCCGCCCGTGTCGTCACTCTTTTCTTCCACCCACTTCATACTTTGTTGAGATCGTGACGTCGTAAGCTCTCGTACGCAGTCTTACCCCCGCTGCTCTCCCGTGCAGTTGTGCAGGTGGTGTGTACTGCGCGTGGAAAGCTGGATCCTTCATAATCGCGTTGGACACCGGGAACTTCGCGCCGCATGCTTAATAATCCATTGCCCCTTCTCTAGGGTGGAAGTGAGGGAGGACGTCGTCGCTGCTGTCCTCCTCGTTCCCGACGTCTCCCTCTTCGATTCCGACGTCCTCGCCGTAGTCGATTTCGACGTCGTTGTCTAGAAGCAGAGAGCACCACCAGTCCGCCAGCCTCCTTGTGGGGCCACAGGGCTGCGAGGTTCGGGTTTCAGCCAAAGGCACCAGTTCGAAGCTCCTCGGTCCCAGTCACAATTCCAGTGCAGCTTTCAGTTTCCAGTCGCACCACTTGCTTCCAACTGTTTATTTTTCATGATCCGCGCGAAGCGGGGATCCGATGACCGTCCTGGGTATCACGGCCTCCCAGGGTTTTCAGAATTCCCTCGAGGGCCCTCGGATTCCCCCCGAGGGCCCGATCCGATGTAAATCACATAAGGCTCGCGCCCCCAAAGCCACGATCCCTGGCAAATTACATCAGATTCGCGCCCCGAGGCTGGTCTTGCAAATGACGTCGCGATTGCCAGTTGTCCTCGCAGAAGGTTCCGATATTGCTACAAGTCGGCGCCCAGGCTCCAACATACCTCTGACAGATCCCATTCTGATAGAGCGGGGGCGAAGGATTGCAAAAAAAACCCAGGATTGCAAAAAAACCCAAGGATTGCAAAACAACCCTTGGGTTTTTTTGCAATCCTTCATTCAAGGGTTTTTTTGCAATCCTTGGGTTTTTTGCAATCCTTCGAGCGGGGGCCAGCGGCAGAGGGCAAACCCCTTACGGATTATCATACGAGAAAGCTGTCGGAGGTCCGCGCGGGGTTTCTGGATCGGCGTCAAGCCAAATTCCCTGGCGCGCGGAGCGCGCCAGGGGCTGCGCCGGAGGCGCCGCTATAGGGGGGCCCCACGCCGACCCAAGAAATCCTCCCGAAGAATTTGGATTCTGCCGCTCGTGGTGCTCTTCGTCGTCGTGGCCGTCGTCGTCGTCGTGGCCGTCGTCGTCGTCGTCGTCGCCGTCGCCGTCGGATGTTTTTCCATTCCTCGATCATCGTCGTCGTCGTCGCCGCCGCCGCGCCGCTGCCGACGGCGCCCGGCCTGAGCCTTCGCGCCGCGCTTCGAGGAGCTGCCGCAGCCCATGGCGTGCGCGCGGCCCCCACAGCCATACGGGCGCCTCGCATGCTCGCACGGGGCGCCGCCGCGTAGCGCCGCCGCAGCCGCCGCCGACGGCCACGGCGGCGGCGACCGCCACGGAGCGCCGTGCGGCCAACGCCGCCAGCGCTGGCGCCGACGACGACGACCTTCTCCTCCTCCTCCTCCTCCTCCTCCTCCTCCTCCTCCGCCTCCTCCTCCTCCTCCTCCTCCTCCTCCTCCTCCTCCGCCTTCTCCTGCTCGAGGGAATGATGGGGAAGAGAAGCAATAGCAGGTGGAGGGGTGAGGGGTGCCAGGGGGGTGGCCACAGAGGGGGGGGGGGAGTGGAGTCACCCTTTCTACTCTCCGCCTCCTGCTCGAGGCCCGCGCGGATTTCTCGGATCGGCGCTGGACCCCGTCCCTGGCGCGCGGAGCGCGCCAGGGGCGGCGCCGGAGGCGCCGCCGGGGTGCCCCAGCGCCGATCCGAGAAATCCGCGCGGGCCTCCGAGTTTTCAAAAAAACCCTTGAACGAAGGATTGCAAAAAAAACCCTTGGTCGAAGGATTGCAAAAAAACCTTGGTTTATGTTTTTTTTGCAATCCTTCGTTTATGTCACCTCCTGTTCCCCTTTTCACGGGTGGGGCAGGGCAGCCCGCGAGGCCCCGCAGCGGCCCCGCATCGGCCCTGGGCCGCCCCTCCGCCCAGGGCAGGGGACGTCTCCAAGCAGAACTGCTCCTCGGGTGCGGCTCCTGGCTGGCCGCGCAGGCCCGGGGAGGCGCCCCCGCCGCTCTTTGGTCGCGCGCCTCGCCCTCCCCCCCAAGAGCTCCCAAGGGTGCCCCAAGAGGGTCCCAAGAGGCGCCCAGGAGGCACCAAGAGGCCCCCAGGAGGTCCCCTAAAGGTGCCCAAGAGTTCCCCAAGAGGCGTCAAGAGGCTCTCCCGAGGCGGCCAAAACACTCCAAGAGGCCCCTGGGATCGCCACGGCCTCAAGACGTCCAACAGGACTCCAAGAACCTCTCAAGAGACGTCCGCAGAGATTCCGAGAGGCATCCAAGAGGCATCTGGCCTTCTCTGCTCGCCCTCCCCCTTCTCATCATCATCCGTCTGTTCCTCCTCCTCCTCCTCCTCATCGTCCTCCTCATCCTCCTCCTCCTCCTCGTCCCTTCTTCCTCCTCCTCCTCCTCCTCCTCCTCCTTCTCCTTCTCCTGCTCCTCCTCTTCCCTTCTTCCTCCTCCCGTTCCTCCTCCTCCGAGTCCTCCTCCGTTCTCCTACCTGTGGCGTGCAACGGCTTTCTCAGCCCTTCATTTCACAGCATGCTCTCCCACATCCAAGATCTGATCAGCGCAACCAGCATGGGCATCGCTTCTGGATGGGCTGGTGCGGTTATGCGAACCTCCAGCACAGAGCTCGTCGTCCCTGGGTGCTGGCAGGCCTGTGCTGCCGCCCTGCTGCGCCCTCCCGGGAGTCCAGCGGAGTGGTGACCCGCGCGGACACAAACGAGACCTCGCCATCCCTGGGTGCCGCCAGGCCTGTACGGTGGAGGTTTTAGATAAGGATACCTTCGATAAGGAACCCAGGGTCTCGCGACCGCTGGGCGGCCAAACGTGGGCCTCCCACCTCGCCTTGAAACGAGAAGGGATGCGCAAGGGTCTGGGCCCTAGGAAGACGCTCCTCATCCAGTGCCGCCGCCGCAGCTGTCGCCGCTGCCCTGCGCCCCCGACGGCTCCAACGGGTTGCCGGCACGCGCAGGGCCAAACCCGGACCTCTCGCTCTCCTGCGCCCCATGGTGGCTCCAACAAACAATTCTCCTCCTCTTCCTTCTCCGCCTCCTCCTCCTCCTCTTCTTCCTCCTCCTCCTCCTCCTCCTCCTCTTCCTCCTCCATCTGCTCCTTCTCCTCTTTCTCCTCCTCCTCCTCCTCCTCCTCCTCCTCCTCCTCCTCCTCCTCCTCCTCCTCCTCCTCCTCATCATCATCCCCGACCGACCGCACGACTGCCGCCACCTTTCCCTGCGCCGCGGGAGGGGTCCAACGGAACGATGGCAAGCGCAGGCCCAGGCGGGACCACGCACGCGTCCTCGGCAGTCGCCGCGGTCCTGTGCCCCTGGGAGGTCTGGCGTGCTGGTGGCCGGCGCGGATCTCCACCAGACCTCGCCCCTCCTGGGGTGCTGCCATGCGCCCCGGGTGCTGCGCGAAACTGCCGATGCAGCGAGTCGGTGCTAGTTTGCCCCATGCAGGGTGCCGAGGCCGCACGTGACGAAGGCTACATGTGGATGACGAGCCCAACTAATCTCCAAGTAGCGAAACCAGCACAAGGCCTTGCAGAATACGGAGCCCATGGTGTCTCAAGGAGTCCGCTGGAGCGCAGCATGGGCAACTGGGCCGGGGAGGGAGCGACGAGGCAGCATCGATGCATCGGAACAAACACGCGAAACCGAACTCGACCTCTCGCCCGCCCACTCAGCTTGGAACTGCCACGCCACCATTAAAGCTTGAAGTATGCATTAGTTGCAGGCGGTGCACTCACGATCTTGGACTAACGTTTTTCCCCCAGGAGATTTTCTGACTCTCGAATGCTCTGGGCCTCTGTTCGAACTATCTTCTCTTTCGGGTACCATGATGTTCGGGCTGCCTTTGTATGGTTGATGTTCAGGTTGTGGTCTGATTTCGTTTAAATGATGCTTGCTGGGTTGTGGCGGTTTCGCATTCAGGTTTGGCCGATTTCTCATGTGTTGATTTTTGCGTGTTGAAGCGTTTTCTAACAAATTACTCCGACGGAAGGACCCCACATGATAATCTGTTTAGCTTTCCCTTATCCCTTTCCTCCCGGCCATGGCAAACACCCTCGTATCGCCCTCTCCTCTGCCATATTTTCCTCTTCTTCTATTTCCCCCCCCCTCCTCCTCCTCCTCCTCCTCCTCCTCCTCCTCCTCCTTCTCCACCTCCTCCTCACTTTTTTCATTTCTTTTTTTATTTTTTTTTTTTTTACTTCCTGGTTTTTTGTTGTTCTTTTATTACTCTCCTTTATTTAAAATTTATCCTCCTCCTGCCTTTTTCCAAGTGCAAGTCCCCTTTTCCCCGGTCGGTGGGAAGCAAGCGATTTCCTCGCCGCCGTCGCCGCCTCGGTCAGAACGCGCGCGTTTGCCGACGGCCAGCTCGCGAAGCCGTCGGGTCAACCCTTCGGGCCAGCCATGCCTGCGGGGCACTCCCGCGGGCCGCCGGAGCGCGAGGGCAGGCCGTCGGGACAACCCCGCGGGCCAGGCCGTTGGGACAACCCCGCGGGCCTCCTCGCGCGCGCCGCGGCGCTCAGGCGGGCGGCAGCACGAAGCCCAGCTCTGCCGCGAGCTGCTCCGCTTCAGCCCTGGAGGCCACCGCTCTCTCGTCGAAATCCTGGAGCGCCTCCCTTGAACGCCCTCGAAGGGGTCGCCGCCGCGCCAACGCCGCACGGACCTACCGTACTCCTCCTCCTCCTCCTCCTCCTCCCTCCTCCTCCCTCCTCCTCTTCCTCCTCCTCTTCCTCCTCCTCCTCGGTTTCCTCCTCCTCCTCCTCCTCCTCGGTTTCCTCCTCCTCCTCCTCCTCCTCCTCCTCCTCCTCCAGGGAAGGGCGGGGAGGGAAGGGCTGGAGAATCAACTTACCCAGCTGATGTTCCTGGCGTCTCCCGGCGCCCGAGGCGGCCATGCATCGAGGAAGGGGCCCCTCGCGGAGGACCCAAAGCCAGCTGCGCTCGGAGGAGAGGCGGTGGGACAGCGCTGGCCAGATCGGCTCTAGATCCGTGCCTGGACCCCTCCCAAGATCCAAACGCACTTGTTTTTCAGGAGGAGGAGGAGGAGGAGGAGGAGGAGAAGGAGCAGGAGGACGAGGAGGAGGAGGAGGAGGAGGAGGAGGAGGAGGAGGAGGAGGAGCAGCACGAGGAGCACGAGGAGGAGGAGGAGGTCCAAACGCACTGGTTTTTCACGGTGCATCCAGCCGTGGCGACGAAGAGGCTCTTCGAAAGCCAGAAAAGGCGAAAAGGCTACCCTTGTCTCACCCCTCGCTACTCTGAGTGCATCTGATTTCGTACAGTGCGCGCGAGGACAGAAGAACATTCATGAAGAACACTAGCCCTTCCGCTGAGGAAACAGGATAACATTCGAGGGTGCCCTCCGCCAGGTGGCACAATTTCATCCCCAAAAAGTGGAGAACATTAGCAACCCTCCCCCGAGCAAGGAAGATCTTAACCCTCGCGCCTCTCAATGTTTTTTCACAACGTCGGTCCCCAGAGGTCTGGACCCCTTCCCTGGGACCGGCTTTTCATCCTGAGTCGCTTTTGACGCTCCCGAGGCCCGGTGAGGGCCTCCAGAGGCCGAAAATTGCCGAAAACCTGCCGTCGTGATTTTGTCACACCGCGGGGATGTCAGGGAAGGTAAAAAGGCTACTCTTGTCTCACCCCTCCCTCCTCTGAACGCATCAAAGTTCGCATTCCCCCCCTTTCCTCCTCCTCCTCCTCCTCCTCCTCCTCCCCGCTCGTCTCATTATCGTTGCCGTCTACTTCGTCACTCCTCGCCGTCCGCTCCTCGTCCTCCTCCCATCCTCCTCCTCATCCTGTCCTCGTCTCGTCCTCGTCCTCGTCGTCGCCTTGGTCCTCGGTCCTCCTGTCCGTCATCATGTCCTCCTCCTCTCCTCCTCCTCCCCTTCTCCACCTGACTACCACCACCTCCCCCACCCCGCCTAACCCACCCCCCCCTTCCCCCCACCCCCAAACCGCCTCTGAATCCTCCTGCCTCCGCCTGCCTCCTCGTCCTCCTCCTCCTCCTCCTGCTGCCTCCTATCCTCCTTGTACCTTCCTCCCTTGTCAACCCCTTCTCTGAATGCATCAGATTTCGTACCCCCCTCCTTTCCCTGTCGAACACATTCGTCCGGCCTGAGGAGAGGACCTTCGCACGCTTAGCCCCTAGCAACGTCCGCCCGACATCGCCGATGTTGACGTTGCTGCCCCTCCTCTTCCTCCTCCTCCTCCTCCTCCTCCTCCTCCTGCCC